GGGGGGGGGGTGGGGTAGGGGGGGGGGGAGGGGGGACCATTTCCAGCGTCACTGCAGACGTTTATTTCGTTTTCTAGCGTTACGATCAATATGAGTTAACGCTCAAGACATACAATTCTGGTATTGTTGGGGGATTCTCAGATTGTTCGGTCTCTCTAAGGACGTCAATGTTTCCAACACACAGGTGCGTAACTAGGGAGGGTGTCACCTGGTGCGGTAAACGCATGGTGTCACCCCGGCACCACCCCCCCAGCTACCCCCTAGCTACCCCCCCTGCCAACACCTACTTAGCTTCGGTAATCACTGCATTGTGACAATAGCCATCTGTTGTGACCTTGTTCTCTCATTTTCAAGCTCTTTAACAGCTTCCTGTAGGTTGTTGTTCAAAGCTATTTTGTCATACAAACTGGGATTTTTTTTAAATTCTCACGACCCGTGTTTTAGTCTCATTTATTTTTAAGGGGTGAATGGAACATGCCACCAGACTTGGGTGAATGGAACATGCCACCAGACTTGGGTGAATGGAACATGCCACCAGACTTGGGTGAATGGAACATGCCACCAGACTTGGGGGAATGGAACATGCCACCAGACTTTTGGTCCATGCTTTTCATAAAATAAATATCGTGTGTCCAGTGAATAGTGGGATCAAAGTAGTGATTCTCAAACTATGGTACACCTAACACACATGTTTAACGTTGTTCCAGGCGGTACACTGAGATGCAATACAGCGATAAATGAAAAAATGCGGATATCCATTATGAATTACAAAAAAAAAAAAAAAAAAAAAAAAAAAAAAAAAAAAAAAAAGATTAAAGATGTAAAACAAAATAAAAAAAAAAAAAAAAAAAAAAAAAAAAAAAAAAAAAAAAAAATTAGAGAATCATGGAATTTAATTTTTTTTTTACAAAGAAAAAAAAAACTGTATTTTTTATTTTTTTTTTTTTTTTCGTTAGGATACCGGTTCCTCTACACGAGCTGCTTGAGGATGATTGGCGAGCGTACAGATGCGCCATTCAGAACCTGTACACCATAGTGCGACGTCAGCAGCATCCGATGGAGAGGTTTATGGAAAAGGGCAAAATGCATGAAATTGTATCTCGACTCCTTGGCCAGGGAAGGTGAGGAAAATGTACACACGCTGGTCNGGGGGGGGGGGGGGTGAGGGGGGCTGACACCATGATTTTGTCGCACCGGGTGACACCAACCCTAGCTTCGCTACTGCATTTATTTTTTTTTACATTTTTAAGTTTTGGCGTCAAAGTGAATTAAAAAACAAGACATGATAAATATGCCGTAAAACAAATTTCGGTTGCACTCATCCAAATGACCTTTTAACCCCAACCCATGACGAAATATTGGTGACGTCGAGGCCAGAAACGGATATTTTCTGATAACATCTACTGAAACTGTGGACGAAATCGACGATTCTGAAATTTAAACAAAAAAAAAAAAAGGAAAAGGTTCCTCAATCCTAAAAATATCATCCTACGCCCGTGGTTGTAAATTAAGCTGGGGCGTGGTTTGGGTTGGGGTGTATCCATGCAACTAATGGGTTCTCATGGCAGGTAATGTTAACTATCATTTTATTTATTTATTTATTTTTGTACCTCGCATTCCGGTGGGACGGATACTTAAAGAGACATGGTTGTTAGGAACAATCTGCCTCCTATTAAGGCAAACTCTGGCATCAAAAGCTGCAACCAAAGCAGCTGTACACGCCTTTTTGAGTTGGTCATTCCAGCATTACGATAGCTGGCTGGCTGGGTGGAAGGAGGGATGCTGGACGCGCTGGTTCTTTATGGGGGGTCTCAATTTCTTTTATGTTTATCCCCCTCAATATGCCACGATGTGTTTGAATTGTAAATGTTTTTATTTCACTACAAATGAACCTGTCTGTAGTCCATCTATATGAATCTGTCGGTAGTCCATCTATATGAATCTATCTGTAGTCCATCCACATGAATCTGTATGTTATATGAATCTATCTGTAGTCCATCCACATGAATCTGTATGTAGTCCATAGATAGAACTTATCTCACAAGGTGTTACCCTCTTCAAAGTTTTTATTTTAAAAAAAAACTGGCATATACGGCCGAAACGCCTGATCCCTGGCGGACTCTTAAAACGTAGCCCTACTGATACGATAACACATCAAACATATTCACGTGAAAACATTGGACACCTTGCTTTGTGTGCCATCCTGTTTAACCACACGAGCCTCTCCTCTCTAAGCCTCTCCTCTCCAAGCCACCGAAACTAATCGCTCAAAGATTTGAAACCTTTCACTTGAATATTGAATCTTTTTTGTTGTTGTTTTTTGTTTTGTTTTTATGAAGGCATACTCCGGAGCTTTTGGCGATGACGCCGATGGACACGGACCTCCCCAGACCGCAGCTTGCCATCTACAAGGATTGCGTGGCCGCACCAGTGGGATACTTTTACCGCCACTACAAGCAAAGAAGAGGCCCGTCGGAGACGCCAGCAGGGAGGGGAACCGATGAGTACAAGATGAACAGCGTCACCATTGAAGGTAGACCGCTTTATAACTTACCTGATGCTAACTTATCGGAAGTTGGGACAATGAATGGCGCGCGTATATGTTTTTGTTCCCTTCAAAATGCCCTGTAGCCAAACTTCTTTTTCCTATTTTTTTCTTCTGAAATTAGATCACTACAATTTCCACTGGCCACCTTCAGGTCAGGTTGGTCCGATTGTAAACATTGTAGACACTGGCTATGTTTTAGACAATGGTCATGTTGACAACAGGTCATATTGAAGTCAAGGGTCACGTTAAAACAGGTCATGTTTTAGACAGTGGTCACGTTGACAAAGGTCATGTTTTAGACAATGGTCACGTTGAAACTGTAATTTTTAAAATGTATGAATTTTTTTTTTAAAATCTCTGCAACAAGCCACATTAACTCTGTATTGGCTGGTGGCAGGTTTGGCTTGAACTCTGTCAAAAATATTTTCATCTTCAGACCCGTTTCAATCAGTGCTGGCCGTCAACAAAGACGAACGCAGGCCGAAAGTCCTCTGGGATGCTGACGTCATCGTGGGCAGTCCGACATCGAACCAGGTGTACGTCTACAACCAGCCGGACGCCATCCCGATCGCCTGCGTCCGTACTAACTTCGGCAACCCCCTGACCAAACGTGTCCAACAGGTTGCCTCCGGCCAGTACTGCAGCCGAGAGGCCAACTCGAGGATTCAGATCCCGTTGCCGCACGAATACCTGACGCCTTTCATGCCCAGGAAAGAGAGGCCCGACTCGCCCCAGCTGCTGGCGATGCAGCCCAACCAAGAGAGCCCTTCGGACTTACCCGGGGTCACCTACGCCGCTACCCTGCATGACATGTGACATGGGAACCTGCCACGTCTGTTTGTCCTGCACGTACACCTCATTACTCGGGTCAATACCTCTAATCCTGCCGAAGACACATTTGCTCACAGTTAAAGTGTTTCACTTACAAACTTGTCCAGGACTTCAACTTTGAAACCATAAGACGACCACTTGAATACACCCACGTTATGTGTCACTTCTTGTCCCACTTTCACTGCACGTGTCACTTCTTGTCCTACATCCACTTCAAGTGTCACTTCTTGTCCTACACCCACTTCATGTGTTACCTCTTGTCCTACACCCACGTCATGTGTCACTTCTTATCCCACTTCCACTGCATGTGCCACTTCTTGTCCTCCACCCACTTCATGTCTCACTTCTTGTCCTAGTTTTAGATCACCAAAAAAAGTCTAAAGCAAGTGAAATTTTTAATCAGTTGAATTTATAAATCTTAAGGATTCTTTCATTGTATTGCAAAACAGAAGAATGCTACCAATGTATTAAACAACAGAAGAATGCTACCATTGTATTACACAACAGAAGAATGCTACCAATGTATTTCACAACAGAAGAATGCTACCATTGTATTACACAACAGAAGAATGCTACCATTGTATTAGACAACAGAAGAATGCTACCCTTCAATTTATGGAGAACATAAGGATGCTACCATTGTAATTGTATAACACAACATAATGATGCTACGAATGGATATATTGCATAGAACATTATATGGATGTTATCATCGCATTGCACAGCCTGTGGATACTACCAATGTATTGCAAGGCATTAGAATGTAAATGTATATTTATTTTTAATCTCTCAGAGTTCTTATCAAATGGAAATGTAACTATGGGACCATCCGAAAAAAAAATTGGAAATTCACTTATGATTGTTTGTTATTTGTTGTTTTTTTTAAAATCTAAATTGATCAAACCCAAATATGAAAACACGTAGTATACTTTGCTGATACAGACCTGAAAGTTAAACTTCTTTTTAGTTTCGTTTCATTGTCAACGTTCTATTTAATTCGCTCTGTTCGCAGAAGAAGACATTCTACCGATGCGTTCGTTGTGTTGATCTCAAGCTTTCCATTATCGCGTTTTTAATATTTTTACACTCCTTTCAGAAACTTACTTGATTGCATTCTCCTCACTATTACCCCAAACTATAAAGATTGAAAAACCTTATCCGTATTAAACTGTCGATGTAACATAGACCTTCAAATCATTTTTTTTTAAAATTGGTATTTAGTTCGTGGTGCATAATGATGAAGCTACCGACCGCCAGCAAAGTTATCAGACTCACTCACTACGGTGATTTGAGATTTAAAATTTAAAAATCATTTATGCATAAACCGGGAAAGGTATCGTTTAAAAAAAACAAAAAACAAACAGTTTCATAGGTACTTCAATTTTAATTCACCGCAAAAATTATCATTAATTCTATGTCTATGCAGTTATATCCGGTTTAACTGCTTCTGTAGACGCCATGAATTTTTTCACAATTTCTGCATTAGTTCACAATGCAGTCAGTTGTATTTTGTTTCTACAACAACACGGTATTGTACATGCTGTCAGACGATGTGCTAACAACCACAAAGTTAACGGAATGCCAATACTCAACGCATCGAACATACGCGGAAATTGGCAAAAGCGAAAAACAAGGGCACACACAGACATTTGCTTGATTCTTATATGTGTGGGTTCTTTTGGCGTCGACGTGTTAAAGTTAAAGCAAATGGTTTGAATGTATTCAACGCCATTCTAGACGATATTGTTCAAATTTGGCCACCACAGTAGCGGGGGACTTTAAAAGAAGTAAATATGTTTTAATGCAAAAGAACAATTGTTTTATTTGAAGTGTGAAGTGTTTTAATGGAAATGTGAGATAATGTATAACGTAATTTTTGCGTTGAATTAAACGTTTTTTCTTCAAAAGAACATTTGTTTCATTCGAAGTGTGAAAAAATAATAATTTTTACGGTGAACTAAAATTGAAGTACCGTTTCATACATGAAGAGTGCAATTGCAAACCCTGCTAAGTCACTTTAGATTGATTTTGAGAAAAACACATTTTTCTAAAACACAACGATGCGCTAATCCTAGGATTCTGTTTTTTTTTTTTTCCGGTTGTAAGATTAGCTGTAAATGATATATTTTTTAACATAAAATATAGTTAAATGGGCATTTTTGCATTTATAATGCATTATAAAGTTATTACTTAGCAGGTTTTGAAAATGGTTTACATACTTAGCAGCTTTTGAACGAGTTTAAAAATATACTTAGCAGCTTTTGAAAGAGGTTTAAAATACTTATGAGGATTTGAAAATGGTCTAAATCACTTAGGAAGTTTGACAGCACACAACAAATTTAAAAGATATAGAGGGGGTGCTCTTTTACATTTTCTTTAAATTGTACTGCATGATTTTAATGAACCTTAGTCTTATATACCTTATCCAAACAATCACGTAACACTAGTA